ATTTTTATACCCATATTCAAAAACGGATACAGAGGGCGTGTTGCAATTATTGGGGCATTGCTTTATTGAACATCCGGGGTAAAGCCTACGCAGAGGTGCCAAAAACAAGGTGCCACAGAACAACAGCGTGGTAATTCCAAACTACTTCTAATCACATCTTCCATAGGCCACATCGTTACAAAATAGCGGGAGTTTGTCCATCCAGTGTACATGTGCTTTGTTGACCTAGAAAAAGATTCGAACCCGGGTACAAGCTGCTGAAATGGGCTTTCATAGACGAGTTGCCGACCTTACTCGTCTCGACATGGTCCGGAATACTGACATCCAGAATAGCCTTGGTGTACAGTCTCGTTTTTCCAGACTGAGAAGTCACATTTGCGATGGTTTTGGCATTCTTTTCTAATGCCTCTAGAAGGGAAGGCTAAGTAACTGTTTCTTTCTCAGTCAACCGGCAGAAGGCCAAGGCAGGGTAAAAATTGACATGATGCAAATATACGGTAGGATTCTGCTCCAAAGTTTTCTGCCGAGGCTCATACTAAGGCACAGGATCGGAAACGAAACGTTGGAAGCACTGTCTACGTGCCTGCCTCTGCGAGCCGAAAGGAGAAGCGGCGAAGGAAGATATAAAATGTAGACGATTATCATTGTTCTCACAGACTTGTTTCCTTTGGTGGCCGATCCCCAATGCAATTCGAAGTTGCAAGTTCGCCAATCTTCTCCGTGTCATGCCCTTTACTTCCACCGTTGACCAGACAGTTTCGTCAATGTGGTCATCCCAGCGGGTTTGTGGACTACCGAGTGAACGCCTGTAACTTGGAATGTCACCCTGTTTCCTTCAGACCAGCCATGCCAACTAATCGTTTTCTTTGAGTAAATATCAAAAATCGTGTCCTCTACCGAACTACGGCTTGGAACATGGTCTCGAAGGTAGACTTTGTATATTCTTATTTGTGCTACTACTAATATGTTTGCCCTAGCCCTGGTGATAGACTAATACTATGAGCCATAAATCAAGGTTTATGTATGATTTCTCGAGTCTCTGACTCCTCAACGGAACCAGTACGAGGTGTGGATGCAGACCAAGAAAGTTTTCATCAAATCGACGAACCCCAGGCGGACAGGAAGCTGGTGTTCGCTGATTGTCTCAATTAGTTATTGCACCATCCGGGGATGATCCGTCTTACTAAGCTGAGTTATGAATTCTTCGCGCTCCTTTGGCTGTGCGGCGTTCAGTTTTTCTTGAATTGTGTTCGTCAATACCTCGGTAGAGATCTTGTAGCTGATTGGTGGCAAACCGGCATAGAAAAACATCGAATGCCACTGTTGCCGATTCATCGCCAGATTCGGTTGATCGTCCGTCAAGCATAGCAACCGATTGACAACATCTGAAGCACAGCTGGAGGAAGGCGACGAAGAACGTTGTCCTTTCAGCAGGCGTTGCGGATGTTCAGAGCGCTGAGGAGGGGGGGGGACGCTTGCGAGTAATTTCTTCGCGAAAGGAGCGAAAGCGAAATGCCCCAAAATCATGCTGTTTCGACTGTGGCCTCAAGGATATCATATTCGATACGCCACAGCCCTTGGCTAAGATCGTAAATGACGATGGCATGCATGATCTGTCACAGGTGTTGTCTATGGAACGCATTGCTGGCGCTTGTTTGTCTGATTCAATCAGCAAAAATTGCCGTACTTTTAGAAAGTAATTTATGCAACTTGATAATCGTCAACAGCGTGAAATCTTCACCTTCGTTTCCTACGTACAAAGTGCTACGCACCTTTTCAGAAAGACTAATCACCGTCGCCCTGTACGAATTCGAAACTGCAATTATTCAACTGTGAGTGAGTGACTGTCTTCCGATTAAGTTACCATGGTCACAAAGGGCATAAAAGGCATAGTTTGCTGAAATGAATCGTTCCCAGCCGTTGCATTTAATGCGACCTCGATGCATAAGGGATAGCTGGAAACAAAACAAGTTCTATATGCGACGAAAGAATATCCACCAAGTAGTGTATCACTTGAATGGCATCCGTTTTCTAGGCCATAAGATAACCGAGGAACTGATCTCTTGCCGAAAAAGGCACTGTCCCTTCGACTCGGTGTTTATTTCGTTCAACCGAGTTGCAATAGCGACCACTTTACGCCATTGCCAGACTTACAGCTAAGAACTTTTAGTTTCAAAAACGCCTTGACGAAACGTCGATTTCGAAAGACAGCAGTCATGGATTGTTTATTCCGACTGTTAACCATTTAGTGTATTAATAATTAAATGATTATGCATAGAATACAGTCATACTTTGTATGCCATTGCCAATTATTATAGGCAGTGTGGTGTCTACAACTTATGTGCTTAACGGAGTTGCGCTACGTTGACGAAGTAGAGAACGACGAGGAGGGTATCGCAGAGGAAGCACTGAACGATGAGCGAATATCGGAAACGCCGCGTCCGGCAACCTCGCTGAGGAAAACGGCCGTTTCTACCTCAGACATGCCATCTCAAATCGTTCGACCGAGGACGCGAACTGGCCGGCCTTTGACTGGAGTCACCAGACCAGGAACGGAAATGAGCCAAGGCGATTTGCTGGAAAGAGTCATAAGAAGTGCACGGACCGCCACTACCGCTCGCCCGGTCACCTCTGTGACCGGAAGGCACATGCGGCTAGGAACGGTATCATGTGACTATTTTTCCTTACCTTGATTGACAGCTGAGATCGTTTAGTCCGCAATGATGTCCGACGCCAGTGGAAGCTACTTGAACATCTCAAGATTGAACTTCGCCAAATACGCTGAGCATCCTACTTTATCCAAGGTGCTCTTCGAATACATATTCTACCATGAAAATGACGTCAGAAATGTAATATGCCCTCATATTTTGACTA